GCAGGACACCACTTGAGTCTGACGATGACTACTGACCCAGAAATAGACATTCCAGTCTTCCTTGTTTTTACTGGCAACACTGTCTGTGTACTTCCGGCTGTTACGGCTGGCAGGGCCTCTGTAAAGATCCAAAGCAGAGGGGGATAGATGAGTTCCGTTACTGGTCAGCTGAACGTTCGTCAATGAGGGACAACCCTAAAAGCATCAACGCGGAAAACTCTACCATATTGTTTCTACCTAAACAAGTGATTTGGTATGCAATATTAATAAAATCCTAGGCTCACAAACTCAATTACTACTGGGAAGTTACAACTCACGTTAATGTTGCCGACTCAAAAATGGGTCTCATGTCACACTTATTTATAGCTTAAAAAGCCACACGCCGTTCGATTTCAACTGTTTAAGCTTTTTAAACTTTGTGAAAGAAGTTTCCGTGGGGGGGGCTTTATCTTCTTATCTGGAAAACCATTATTCGATAGCACTGTGTTAAGGAGCGGGCAAGAGGCCTTCTGTGCTCTTTCCAGCCAGACGCGTTACAAATGACCCTGTATGGGGCCGAATTTACAGCCGTGAAGTAGGTCATCTGTATAAATGGTCGAAACGGATCTCTTCCCACCCAGAAGTACTAATTCTCGCAAGTAGGTCCGTTACTTACTAGTCTTCATAACTATCAACCATAACCACAAGTTTCTTTTTATGGTGTTATGCAGATTAACTGTTTAATAGATCTTTGTTTCCCTAAGCTATTAAGTATCTTTTCCGCAGAGAGTCGAGAACAAATTAGTTATTTGAAATAGCGTTCTGGGGGATCTGTTAACGGCATCGAAGTGGCTAGCATTTGGATAGTCTGGTCTCAATGTAGTGCATCGTTAAAATTGTGAGAAATTAGTAAGAGCGTGACAAATTGCCTCGACCTTTGTCCTCTTTGATGGGCTTTTTTTTAAAGTAACTTTCAGCACATTTCCGGTTTCGAAATCGAAGAATGCAACGCGTTTGGCGTGTTATCGTGAAGAATTGTTAGATAATTGATCGTATCATGACAAAAAGCGAAATGGTCATTCGCAAGCCTGTAGAGTGAAAAGAAGATGGCTTTCTATTCAACTAATGCGTTCTCGCATTAGACGTCGACAGCTGGATGGCTCGAACTGCTCAAGCGACTGGAATCTGGAGCTGAGAAATCTATGGGACTTAACAGGCCACGGAGACGCTTGGAAAGCAGTATGCGGATCGACCAGCGAACAGGAAGTGCCAAGCTCTGCTCGAAGTGCATCTAGATACTGATGTGTACCTGTCACGACAACGCTCTCGTGGAACCGGCCAGCACCCGGCGCGGCAAAGATGATCGGTTTCGTTGACAAGTATCACACTAAATTAAATTAATAGGTAAGCCCTTGCCGCTGCCATCTTCCGGCCCGGTTCCGCTTGGGAAGAGAACAAGTGACACGCCAGGCGAAAGGAATAGTGGAGAATAGGAAAGATGAATTTTTCTGCCGTATGAGTATAGAACCACTGGCGAGAGGGCCACGCCCAAAGTACGAGAGCGTGGCAGTCGTCAAAGCAAGTCTCTTTGTGAATCAGCCACCGGACGATGATTGGCCAGACCGGAATGGCATAGACAGGCTGGCGCATGCGCACTTGAAGGCAGCCGCAAGAGGCTGAGCGTCCGCGTGCAGTTTACGGCACTTGTGGTTGGCTGTTCCAAGATCAGGCCAAGATTTGCCATCACGTGACCTCATGCGTGGCGTGGGAGTCGCTACGCAGTCACTACAACTGTAGCAAAATGTTGGCATCAACTAAAACACCAATGCACTTTTTTGTTATCGAACTATACAGTCCGGTTTACCTTTCCGCGCTGTAAACACTTTGCAGGAGAAGTCCGAAAACAGGGAGAACGGCGTCCTGGAACTGCAGCGAATACTGCGTGGCCGTGCTGTCCAGACCATGATGTGTGAATCCCGCATGAAACGTAAGGACCTGATTGATGAGTTACGCTCCACCCACGCCCTCCTCAATGACGACAGGGCTGAAATGCGTCGCCAGATGGTTCTGATTCGCACCAATCAGACTAGATTTGCAACACTTGTTCATGAGGTAAGCATTCAACTACAGTCCCTGTATTCGATTTATACATGCTTGTTCTAACTTGCGTCATTTTTGGCTATTCTGATTTTATTAAGGTTAATGTTTCTTAAGAGGAGACTGTATCGCAGTGGGTTAGGTTAACACATTAGCCGCTACCACCTTCAGATCTGGTTTCTTGTGGAAATAAAAAGGTGGGACGTCGCGCTAAGGACCCGTTAAGGTAATATCTTTTATTTATATACTAGTCCTACTGAATAACATTCAGTAGCAACGTCTATTTAATTATGTTCCATATTGGCACAGATTGTCCAAGTGCATCAGGACAGTATGGACAGTCCGGTACCAGGTGGGAAGAAAAAGTGGGTGGTACAGTGTTTTCTGTATAGAGCTAGAGGAG